ATGAAAGCGCTGTTACGCGTTCCTCACAGGTGCGCCCCTATCTACCATTTCAGAAAGTGCAACTCACTAATAAGAAGAACGCAACGGTCCAAGTGCATCGCCCAAACGATAAGCATGGAATGCACCTTTAATTGGCACTTAACTTAATCATTCCAAGTTCCGGAATAAGACCCCTACAACAGTGATGGTATTCGCTAAGAAACCATCTGGCTGAACCTTGTTGCCTTATCATAAAACTGCACTGGTGTGCATCTTCTGGAAGAATCTATTTCTAGTAACGAATGAATAATATCGCCTATTTCCTCGTTCGTTGTCTCTGGTAACTCCGGCGGGTCATAGGCATCATAGTTAGCACCCAGCAGTGTATAAAAAAAGTTTTGAGCAAGAAAACATTCGTCGAATGGGATCTGCAAATACTTGTGTTTATAAATGCAGTATAGCACACCACGAGAGATTTTGTTTCTCGACGATTCCTCAACGAGGTAAGCAGTACTTCAGGCTGTGTTGGCAGGGAACGCCAGCCACGTTGTGACTCATTTTTTCTCAAATTACAACAACCCTAATTCCATACTAGAATACGACCCCCTTTTTGGGAGTTGGTGCGACCCCCCCCCCTTCCCCCCCTCTGTCCTTCCTCATCGAACCGAGCCGTCGAGCGAGGAAGGGGGGGGAGGTCGTCAGAATTAAACTACCATTTTCAAGTGTCGGAAATAGTAGTGCGTTCTGGTGAACGACAAATAAGACCGGCCCCCCTCCCCTCCCCATCCCAAATAATGACCGAAACTAAGACCATCCTTTACAGCGTCCGTCCGTGAAACAAGAGAGATCAACTATCAAAAAAAATTTTATCTGGCCAAATACGACCCCCCCCCCTCGCGGTCCAATACGATGGCGTACCCTGCCTTGATTAGTGGCTTCAACTCGAGGCGAACATGGTGCGACAGGGCGCAGACACAGGGAGGAATAATGCCGAAGAAAATGGATTTTTAGCGTTTTTGTGAAGTACGCTATCCCCTCTTCTCTTCTTCTCCGGCCAATTTTTTTTCATGGAAATTCTTATGGAAATTGGGGGTGAAGTGGCTGAAATTGGATTACGAAAGCTGGATGATGGGGGAACGAGTTCGCACGAGGCAGTGGTGAAGTGAGGACTCTGAGAGTACGCAATCTCCGCTAAGACGTGCGTGAAATTCTAAAATCCTTTCAGGAATTTTGGGCTCATTCTCACTGGTGACCTTATTCTCATTTTTTATCTGCGAAAAGACAAGGAAATCCGCCATATGATGCTGTCAAATGAACAGATCCCTAATTCATTTTCGCTTGAATTACAAGCATTCGGGCGTATTTCGTGGTGACCACACCCAACGCGCTACAATTAGTCCCATTTAAAATGAATCATAAAACTTTTTGCAGCTAAGAAAAGCAATGAGTCTTATCAGGCAAAGAATGTTGTGTATCACGTGTAATGGGAAACCTGCATAGGGCTAAAAGCCTAAAATATCGATATCGCTATCAAACTGGGTTAATGAAGCCTTCCAATAAAATAAAAGGACTATTGGAACAATAGGATCTAAACGAAACCAAGAAGAACGCGTGAGACTCTAAATATTCCCCACCCGTCTCGAGGGGACCTTGTGACATCACTGCCATGTTCATTTCTAGGTAATACTGTTTCCAAATGAAGGCAAGTAAAAAACCCAAGTAATTGAATGAACTCTGCATTTTGCGGAAACCCACTTCCGGCTGAAACTTCTCGACGAGGACCAAGACCACCGCTTCCCATATAAAAAAAAAGGAAAAGCAGTTCGTTTCCTTACAGGACCAAGACCACCGCTTCCCATATAAAAAAAGGAAAAGCAGTTCATTTCCTTACTCTTTTTAATTCCCCCTTCACCCTCCACTACCCATTCTTTACACCCATAAGGCCAAATGGGTAAGCGAATCAGAAATGCATAGAGGCTGTCTGACAAGAGCTTTGAGTGAGGAGATATTGGAGAAACCCTATCACACACCCTAGGACTTTTCAATCAATGTTACAGACGTTGTCACTTTTTTCAAGGCATTCAAAAGACTTCAGTAACAGCTGCGACGACCAGCTTTCTCTCGAATTTTATGAGAATAGGAACTTCGCTAATATCCTACTATATATAATCCGCTATGTGTGTCTGTGTGTGTGTGTGTGTGTGTGTCACGAAATTCATAACACCTGTCCCAGTAGCAGAGAAGCGTTGATTCCAGGAAGTGATGGAGGGGGTGACGGGAACACCATTGGTGGGTGACAGGATGTGATATCAGTTGATAAGATTCGATAAGAGGCGTCCAAAGGGGATGGTCACCCAGTCCATAGTGCGGGCCACAGCAGCAGTGGGACGTTGGTTCCAAGCAGTGAAATAGGGGGTGGGACGAAAACATTATTGGTAGGTGACAGGATGTGATATCAGCTGATAAGATCTGATAATGGGCATTAGAAGGGAAGGACTACCAAATTCGTAACGCAGGTTACAGCAACAGCGGGACCTTGGATCCGAGAGGTGCTATAGGGTGTGGGACGGGAACATTATTGGCGGGCGACAGAAAGTGATAACAGTTGATAAGATCCGATAAGGGGCCTCGGAAGGGGAGGGTCATCAAATTCGTAACGCAGGTTACAGCAACAGTGGGACCTCGGATCCGAGAGGCGATATAGGGTGATATGATAGTGATACGGGACGGGAATATTATTGGCGGGTACGGAAGTGATAGGAGCTAAAAGTGACAAGGTAACATGGGAAAATCCGCTTCACCGCTCACAACAACAATGCGATCGATATGACTCAAGTATAACGATCTCAATGATTCCAACAGAACTCATTCCTCACTGCTTATTAGTAACGACATCATGTACGACCGCTAAGCTAGCTCTATTCCAAATGCATGGTTTGTTTACAGAGATGTTATGAAGCAGCAGCAATTGACTTAATCACTCTTACCACAATTATCTTCCATCAACAACCTTAGTGAGGGCCATTTAAAAGGTTCCACTGCTGAATGCGGGAGTGCATTCCAAAGCAAGACGCTTTAGGAGGACAGAATGCATGAATCATAGGCTGCTTCAGCGGCCATCCTAACAGGCTGCAATATTCCCGTGTAGGTTATGAACCAGTCGGATCGCTGGCTAAGGCCGGCTCTCCTCCTTCTGTGATGCGGCGGGCGCTGCTGTTGCTTCTGCATCTTGACGGAACGAGCGCTGCTTTTCAGTTCTTGGCTGATGCAGAAGATTCCTTTTAACAGTGTGGTTGGTCAACGATCCGTAACTTAGCACGCGGCAAATCCGCATGGCCGGCGAAGCCGGGCCATGTCACAGAAGGAGGAGCGCCCGGCGACAGCTGGGCGATCCGACTGGTGAAGGAGGAGGACTATAGAGCAGTGCAACCATGCTTCCATATTATCAAAAGACACCCTCCCCCAAATTAATATGGGCAGGGAGCCACTAAAGCGCAGGATACATGCTTCGAAGACGTGCATTCTCACGGAGCTTCTCAACATTATTACTGGTCCATTGCCCGAGGCTGCCCTTAAGGGTGTATTCCACATCAAGAGAAAGAGTGAATAAAGGAGCGCGTTGAGACTAGAAGCAGAGGTGATTAGCAGAAGCGTGTCCGAGATAGAAAAGTCCAAGAAAAAACCGCCAAAACCCCTTTGGAAAGCCCCTTTTCGAAAGTTGTATTTCAGTATGTACAAGATCAATGCGAAGAAGCTAGGTGCTTCGAATAGCTCTCGTTTTTTGGTACCATATCAAATTCAATGACATGACCGTTTTTCTCTTTCACATCAGTTTTATTATTGAAACCGCTGCCCTCTGTTATCTTATCTTATGGTTAACAATAAAGCTCCCTTGAGCAGCTTGCGTGACTACCTGGACTTCTTTCCATGGTCCGAAATCGTATAGCGCAGACATATGGAGCTTCGACGGGTGCAGATGAACCAAGGGCGATTCAAGGAATAGGTTTTTTCCAAGGAGAAGGAGACTCAACCGTGGATGAGCCACTTGTCATGCGTGAGAAGATGAAACGAAGGAGGTCTAAGTGGCCATGGGACGTCGCGGAGACAAGAGAGCGCAGACGAGAGTTTAAGCTTCATATGATTAAAAGGACTGAGTTCAAGGTGTTCTTAGATCCTCATGACATGTAGTGGCTATTAGATGAGAGGACATTCCTAGTCTTGAAGGCGTTTCCAGGCCAATAACGACACCCCCAAGAGTGCACTCATATTTCGCGATTTGGACTTTCTAATCCTGCGAAGCCAGCGACCGCTCAAACCATGCACGACCAAAGCGACAAAGTCGAAGTACTAACGCACTCTAACAAACTTGGCGTGCGCTTTGGGGCCCACGAAATCGGCCCAGCCTGTGAAAATGACCCAACCGGATGTAAACTAGTGTATTCAAAGCGGGGGCAGCTCCGGATGTGACTTGTGCTGCCCAATCCGAGGCACCACGACCAAGCTTGCAAGGCTCAACACACTACAGATTGCCGCGCTAGAACAACTGGGACTTGATGCGAATGTCGCGCACATCACACCACTGACAGCGCCCTGTCTCGCACCTCGCCGGCTTGCTGAACTTTATCACGACTGATCCACACATCATACCATGGGATCTTCCTTTTAAGGTCAATATTTCACAACTAAAAGCTCCTCACAATCTTACCTCGCCGGTAACACACTGATACAATAAACATCCAATACTCCACATGTCGACCTTGGAGTCATATTGACAAGTCTTCAAAAGATTAGCACCAACTTCAGGGGCCATATAGAATAATGTACCAGCTACATTACACAGATCCGGACCATCATCATCCAGAGTTCGAGCAATTCCTTAAGAATAATATGTAAGAATAATATGAAGAAAAAAAACACTTCTTACTGAGAAAATGATGAACTAACCGAAATCCGTGATTTTCGCAGCTGAAAGCTGCTTACTCTTCGAGATGTATTTTATCAAAATATTCTGCGGTTTAATGTCTCGATGGACGATTTTTAGGTCAAACAATCCTTTATAGCCACGCGCTATATTGTCGATGAGGACTCTAAATTCGCAATATTATGACAACGACCTGTATAAATTACTGATTACTGTTGTTGAGCGATAACCTGAGATTGGCGCTGTTCAGTCGTCCATCATTGGAATGATGTCTAATATGATTCTCCAGATCTCCATCGCATAGTTCCATAATAAGGCAACAAGTAAGTTCATCTAACTCACAAATATCCAGTACACCCACTAGGTGAGCGTTATTAAGTGCTCTGAAAAAAAAGCTAGAGGTGTAGGGTCACCACAGTTGAGGAGGGAAAGTGAACGCTAAGTCACGGGGATTGGGGTATTTCTGAGGCTACAGTTATTTTGAAAATACCCTTGTCGAACGAAGTAATCGGTCCACCCACCCCGGAGCTCCTTCTCTGGGCTTCGGCGGAAATCCATTACCTGGTACCCACTACCGCGGTTTTGAATGCCTTGAGATGGGTGTCGTACGTTGGGCACCACTCCCCCCTCGCCGAAGGGGATCGTGGTTAACTGCTGAAAAAAAATAGGAGGTTGTTTTTGCCTTCATGAACAATGTGTTCGGTTACTTCGTTTCTCCTGCTTCAAGGTGCGTTGTACCTTCCCCTGCCCCAGGCTCCTTCCCTTTTCGCCAAACAATTTGGACCATGGGGTAGCCGCTTATGAGGAGTCTATGTACTCCAGCAAGCGAAGCCGGATGGGGATGAGTAAGGGAGGAGGTCGCACTATGAGGGGAAACGTTCAAGGAAGTAGCATCTCGCAAGCAGTTCCCCAACATCAGGACGTGCCCTGTCATTGAGTTAGATGCACCGAGGCGCTCCGTGTGAGGCAGTACTCGTACCTTGCGACACTAGAAGAGAGGAGAATAGCAAAACTTGGCGAACAACGAAGTTTACGAAAAGGAAGGTCAGCGCTAATATAGTTTGAGAACACTTGGCGCTGCTGTGCCCTTTCCTCTGACTGAGGCTTAGGCGTTTTGGGGACAATGTCCTCTTTGCAGAACTATCCGAGAGGGGTCGTATTCGGTCTGAGAAAATTTTTTTTGGTAGTTGATTTGTTCTGTTCCGCTTCTTGGGTGCTGTTCACATTGCTGTGAGAACTCCAACGAGTGAGGGGAGGGTGGCGCAAGGTCGGGTGTTGTACTTGCTATTCGATGGGAGATGGGGTCGTGTTTGCCTCTAAGAGAAATTTGCCGCGTTGCATACAACATCTTCCGGTTGTTTTTCACGGTTTACTGGCAATGGCTTAGACAGAAGATGGGGAGCAGGGGGTGGTCGCAGCAGAGTACGAAATCGGTTTCACTGGCAATGGCTATTAGACAGAAGATGGGGAGCAGGGGGTGATCGCAGCAGAGTAAGAAATCGGGGTGGGTCGTATTATCCGAAAATTCTCCCCAACGGCAGGACGTGCCCTGAGAGACAAAGAGGCGAGTACGAGCGGCCTCCCCTTATTGCCGCAAAGTACATATATCGACTTGAATGATCGGAATGCGTGAGAAAGATCAGTTTCATAGCGACTGACGTCGGAATAGGACGAAATAAACCAATAAGCATAGAAGCGTATATATAAGGCAATCAAGATTCTCCGACTTGGAACTGTAGGGGTATGCGTTGCCGCGAATTTATCAGTTTCTGGATTCTCCTCTGTCCCAAAACATGAATATGCTCGTGTAAGAACAGCAGCAAAAACCAATCCAAATACTTACCTAATAACCCTAAGTTCATTGTCCTTAACATTTTGCTTCAACATTTTTTTGATGGCAACCTGAAATCACGGAATTCTGTTTCGTTTCTTAGAAAAGAAGGCACAGTTTGGCGACGGGAGGGGAGGGGTGAACTTTTGCTACTTTTCATCGACATCTTACAAAATTGACAGTTTCACCATGATGGCTTGACGAGCTTGCTCCAACTCACAAGAGTTCACAGGTTTCACCAGAGTGAGACTTGTAAACCGGAACTAGTGAAGCAGCGAAAGCGCAAGAATGCCCCTTCCCGTCGCCGAACTGCGCCGAAAAGAGAAATAACATACATCGGTTTGGTCTTTGGCGCTGTAGCCTTTGTAGACGACACCGAAGGATCCTAGCCCGATGAATGAAGCGAATGAATCGACATATTCATAGCCGTTAGGGAGGTGTACCACTTCATTCGTAAACTCGGGCAGCTGTGATGAGATGGACCCACGGGGGACGTTATCGCCCACCAAAACCATCTGAAATCCCGAGCACATTAAACAAACATCAAAACATCGCACGCGCCAAGTGACTGCATATTCAAAACAACATCCCAACACACAACGGCGAGCAGCAACGCAGAAGAGCTGAGATTTTGGAGAGAAATGCCTACTTGACGGAAAATGGATATTCTGGGAGTAACTGCGAACAGGGCTCATCGAACGTTGGATATCCCCAGCAACGGAAACTAATTTGTTCGCTGAATGTAGGGGGAAGTGCTTATCAGCGTTTGCGAAAAATGTGTTGATGTTGACTTTTCACCGAAAGCTTGGAAATGTTAGGTATGGGGATGCGGAAAGGAGGGTTGTATCAGAGAAAATGAGTCGAATCATCCTATCCCAGAGCGCCATGCACCCCTCCGGCAGTAGTTTTTTTTTCGGGGAGAGGGAAACTGGAGAAGTGAAGGAGTGGTAGGAAGATGGAGGAACTTTGGATAACCAGCGGTTAGTATGGGATAGGATGGAGGTCGTAGCAGAGCACCAGTGGAGGAGATATTTAGGAGAGTTTTTTGGTGCGAGTAAGTAGCTCACGCGTAAGTAAAACATACCGGGCATATTGCTCGAGAAAATTCAAATCAGAACAGGAGTTTCTCAGTGGCGACATTAGGAAAAGCTGGAGCTAACACTGTTGGTGAGAGGGACCACTGTACAGAGCCTCTCAGTCCCTTCTCGAAACCAAGGTTTGGGCCTAGTGCGCAGACGAACAGATTCAGTGATGGGTTAGGATCCAGCAAATGGATGTGCGAAATATCGATGTAAGTAGGACCAAATTTCCTCCTCCCTTCCCCTCCCCACCCCTAGTGACCGGGTACGTCCCCTGAAGATACTCTCCTAAAGAGGCAACAGCTCATGAGGGACAATCTCGCCGAGAGGACGTCCACACACAACTAGCCTTGATTGGCTAAAAATATTAATACTGACTAAGCAGCGATGAAGTTCTTTTGCTTATATGAGAAGGAGAGCGCTTAAAGTGGTTTCGCATGCCTTGGGTGGTCTACTAAACCGATTTAGGAGTAGCGTAGCTTACGAATTCGAATCCTAACTAACGAGGACTGCCTCCGAATTCTGAAAAACCCAAAACACCGAAACACAACTTCCAGAAAATTCTGAAAAGGAGAGAGTACAGTAATGTTCGCTGCGGATGAGGAGTCCTACCAGTGAGGCTGGGTTTGGCGCTCCGCCAACCCGTTATACAGTTGTTGAAGCGATAAGAGACAATAATCGGTAATAAGTGACTGTTACGAGCGATATGATTCAGAATTGCCCTGGCTGAAAGAAAAATAAAAGAAGCGGGCTGGCGCCGCGTCAAACCCAGCTGTTTGACAGCCCCATTAGCGCCGCGAAAAAGACTGTACTCTCTTTCAATGAGTCTAGAACGCAGACTCATCCAGACTCTGACGCACGATGCACATGATATAGCCGAGGCGATTAGTGAAATAATCTCCTTAATTTCCAAGCGGTTTTTCCAGGATAATGATGCGAAGAGGACAACTGGAAAGAGGATAAATTCAAGAAGGTCTAACATATGAATTAAAGGAGGAAGCATGGAAATGATTTCTGAGCCTTTTTGGAGAGCTGCCCTGACCTACTAGCCCACAAACAGAGGAGGAAACTACGGGCACCGCGAGCAGCGGGAACTTGCGCGGAGCTTTTCGCGAGCGAGTGTCACCGAATCGATGGCGATGACGTCATTAGGACATGTTCTGTGTGATTGCGGCATCCATGCATGCCATTTCACGCAAATCATTCACAATTCTGAACATTCTCAGAGAATCATTTATGCATGAAAAACCTCTCACACTAAATCCTAGGCATTTGACGGTGAAGTATTGTGGTGAGAAGCGCACAAGCAAGGGAAGACAGTGAGGTCGTTGGACTAGTCGATCATTTGATGGGAGGAGGAAAAGGAAGAAGAGAAGTAGGACAAGAAAAGAAGGAAGGAGGGAGGTAAAAGAAGGAGGAGGCAGTTTTCACGGTTGAAGTTTCCTGAAACGAGGCGTTCAATCGACGTGTACTTGCCGCAATTGCGGTTAGTACTTTTCTTCACGCTAATTCGATTTTCTTACCGCCTTTTATCGCGACGGCAAGGCTTTTTCGTATAGTTTTTTTGCTGAATTGTCTGCGACAGTCTTATGATTTGTTCAAGTGATTAGAACTTCAACGGGCAGCGGGTGTATTAGGTTTACAGTTGCAGGCCATTGTGGTCCAAATATGTCCACTAGGGTCATGACTAAGCTACAATTAGAGTCTAAAGCGTTCTTCAACATCCGGAGTGCCATGTTTTTTTTCCGTTTGCCCTTGTCCTGTTGCGTTTAGGGAGCGTCGAAACAAACAAAGTGCTTAAGTAAATAGATCGTTTGATAAGGAAGAAGTCATATTTCAACGCTGTTCTAATAGGTGTGAGATTTCATCGCGGAACACCCAAACCACGAGGAACACTTTTTATAGAAAGGGAAAGTGGGCGAAACATGTGATAAAGTGGTTTTTAACCAGGGTAATGAGGATTTTGGCTTCGACCTAGAGAGGGAGAGCTTTTGGGTGGCTTTATCCCGATAGGGCCGCATTTCCGTTAGAACGCCTTCAGACTTCGCGATCGCAAAGTCTGAACGCGCCCTCACGGAAGAATTGTTCCTTTCATAGCTTTCCATTTGTGACATTGAAGCGTTAAGCCTGGGGAAATGCGAAATCTACTGCGTTGCACAGAGTTCTCAAGGTAGCTGGCTAGCGCCTTTGTTTCTTCTCTTGTGGACGTATGTATGCCGCCTACATGCAATTTTCATATTCCTCCCTTTCATTCTGAAAGCTGTCAGAGTGATTATTGCGTTTCTTTCTTGAGGGAAGGGAGGTTCAACAAAAATATAAACAGCACTGATTTAGCACACGTACTTTGCCTGAAATAGATCACGTACCGTTGACGCCATGTAACACGTCAATGACGTGTTTTATGACATCATTTACAATACTGTACAAGTTCCTCGATGTTATCGAGTTGTATGACATGTCATATCCTGATGTTAACAGTAAGCAAACTTGGGTGACACTTTCACCGCAAGATAGCTATTATACAAAGAAAAAAAATTAATATTTAGAAGGCTTTTCCCGTAATGAGAATGTAAGAGGCGCCAACGAAAGTGAGGGAGGAGGGGATACCCATCCACTCGCAAGCGCCTTCGTATCCTTTTCTAATTTAGCTTAGGAAAAAACTAGGTCTTCGGCCGGGTTCATACTTCCGAGGTCTGAAGCGACTCAGCGATTCGAGAAATTGCGCGACGGGGAAAGTTTAGGAGTGATCTGGCGATTGCGAAAATTGAGCGATCCGGCGATTCGGAAGACTCGGCTTCTCTGCCGACTGCACGTCAAATGAGTGATGGGTATCGATATTCGCCGGTCGCTAGCAGTTGCCGAGTATCGGCGATTTCCCCATATTGCCGATTCTCTCGATTTGCCGGATCGCTCAGTCTCCGCAGTTGCCGAATCGATACCTATACTTTGTTCGTCGCGCAATCTCTCTAATCGCGGTCTCCTAAATCGCCGAATCTCCTCAGTCGCAAAGTATGAACGCGGCATTCTTCGCAAAACTATCACTCAGTAACGCTGGTTGTTTGCATTCTAAGTCTGACCGCTTTATTTTGGGGGGGGAGGAAACGATACAGGAGCGCAGATAAATGTCCCCCCCCCCAGCTACCTTAGCGCTGACAGTATTCGCTATTTATATGCGTGTTGCTTCATTTATTCTCGTACCTGCGCTCTTTTAGTGAAACAAGTGTTGTTTTTGCGTGTGTCATTGCTGATGTTATTGAAGGCGATTGCGGACTGGCGAAAAACCCCGGCTATGTGAAACGCTTGGCGTAGGTGTGACACAGGTCCGTCACCTGTTAGCCATTCGGTGACTATTTGTCCTGAAATACATTATTGACGAGAAAATCTGTACTGTGTCGTTGCTGATGACGTCCCTAGACATGTTGCTGACGAGTTATGTGACATCAATGACAGGTCTCCGTCTTTTGACAGGTAACGTACGCGACTGCATACCTGTGCTACATCAGGACCAAAACATTTGTGGGTCGATGCCTGTGAGCAGGGCTCTAATTCAAGATTACTGAAGTTAGAAATCCTTAGAAGAAACAACCGCTAGCCGAAGAGGGTATTCACCCGCTCCTGTGATCCAACCTAACCATATAATGGTTGCAGTTGCTCTACTGCCATAATACACCTGATTGCACTCTACTCGTTCTTCGCAAGGTACTGTCGTCACGTCTTACACCGTTCTCGAGAATGTAAAACGAGAGATTATACTGGGCTTGCTAATGGGGGTTCGTTTTGAAGCGAAAGTTAGGAACTCTGGAAATAGGGGGGGGGGGGGGGAGGGTGAGAGAGACTAGATAATTCACCGCCTTAGGTGTAACCTCCATGTAAGTGTGTCGGCCAATTTTTTGAGTGGAAGGCGTTCATTTAATGTTTAGACGCCTTATTAAGGATGCAGTACTTCCGCAGCTCAAGAATACGTGATGAAAGCGGGACCTCTCGCGACGAAGCCACTGTCTGGCCCGCTGGAGCTCGTCCGACCACGCTCTTTCTTCGCCCTGTGCACCAAGACACGCGATCGGCATGGGTTTCTATGTGGTGCCCTTCAAGCGGGTTTTCTTTGCACTTTTTTCACTTCGTTATCTTATCATTAATATTCGGGCCGCACAACTGACCATTTTCGAGTGTTTCTAAAGGGGAGATACGGAGGTGGAGCGTGCTAGCGTGGCCATTTTTCTCATCCTCATGATGTGGTCCGATTTAGCCTTGAACATTTAGAATGCGTTAATAAGAGTAGTCCTGAAGTATAAATGCTCGCTCACTGAAGACGGATGACATTCACACGATAGCGAAAATCGCATCAAAAGCCCATGTTCGAAGTCATTTTGCAGGTCTACTTCTGGTGACTTGGGATGGGCGATGGAACCTGGGGCTCGTCATTGCCTTCTCTGTCA